AGCAATTTGAATTTGGTTTTCTTCCTTCCTTGGTAGGTTGCCTACACCACTTGTTTCCTCTCTGGCTCCTATCTGAAAGCTGCATTCCTTTCTCTTTCAGGCCCTTAGCAAGATTGATTCAGTTATCAGTGCAGCATGTATAGTGAATCTGACGTGCTGTGCCGGATTGTTCCAGCTCTTGATTTGTTCCATGTTTCACTTCTGTTTGCCACATGAAGGGTGTGCGAGTCTTAAACCATCAGGAAGTAACAGGGGGAATTCCTCTAGACTAAACCACCACATAAACATTTCTCTCTATCGCTTTGCATTCATACATACTAATATGTTTACTTAAAGCATGAAGGTTGTCCAACATAACTTACTTTTTTTGTCTTGCAGATCCCCTTCAGTCTAAGGAGACTCGATGAACGAACCTTATTTGTTCACTGAATTATAAAGTGTAGTGCACTTCAGTTGCATGGCACGCTGTAATGTAACTCAATAAATAAAATACATACGTCAGTGGTGCTTAGTTGTCTTCATTAATGTCAAAATCTTTAAATGCTCAGATGCTGAAAAGAATGGTGGAAAGTCTTCAGAAATTGCTCAAGATGAATAAATCTAGTTTTCTTTCCCCCAGGAATTATTTGCATCTTTGTTTTGGCTAAATTCCACATTTGATAACAAAGTATATGCCTAAGCAATTACAGCTCGTTTGTCTTCGCTGCTGATGGGAATATGCAAGAGGATAGTTGTTAGTGGAAGGGAGAGGCTCCCTCTTATACATGGTACGTAACTCTGACTGGAAAATGACTCCAAACTGCAGGAGTGTTCACATACGTTTGATGTAACAGGGGAAAGAGGCTAAAAGCAGACAAAAGAAGAAATAGTTATTTTAGGGTATCATGGGAAGGGAATGAGAATCTTTGTGTGCTGCTTCTAGACATGTATCATGTCCTTTTTAATATCTGGAGGTAGTCAGCTAGGCATAGTTGTGATCTCTGCTACTTTCTCTGTAGTCCAAGGCCTGATGCTCTTATCTTCTGCCATCATTTGCTTTGTGCATTGCCTGTTGCTGAGGTTGGAGATGGTACTAGGACTGTCACTCTTGATGGCTGCATGTGGGTACTAGGAGGGGAGTCAAAGGTGATGGTGTGAAAGGGAACACTTTGTAGAAGCATGACAGATTAAGCCATCACCTGTGTTGCATTTGAAGGTCTTCAGTTCAAATCCTGCTTGGAGTAACTCATTATTTTAAATGGATCATTAACTACTTAACACTTAATAGGTATCCATGAGCAACATTTGGACTATTGAAAGCATGTAAGTAATGTGTTTGATCCGGAACGCTATTACAGACCAACATGGCATTTCCTTTAAGCTTTCTATACAGGCAGTGATTCCTTTAAGCAGAGAAAGAATTTGACGTTAGTGGTGCAGGGGAAACCATCTAGTAATCAAAATACCCCTGTTCCTATAAATGTAAACCAAAGCTTAACAATAGCAAATGATACCCATTTATCTTCCCATGTACAGTATAAACATTGTATGCCATTAAGTACTGACTAACATTTTCTCAGGCACGTCTGCAGGTTTGAATAGCCAGGGGTCTTTAGTCATACTGACAGCTGCAGAGGCAAAGAAACTTGCTACTGCCAGGTGTGCAGGCTAATAGACCTGGCTTCCCTTGCAGCTCTAGCCCCTGTATTCTTCCCAGTTGCTATGAATGAATTTACTTTTAAATTCTAAGTTTCTTCTAAACTGTTATAGCCAACAGCAGTAATTGTTGTAGTCTGTGATCCTTCAGTTACCAGCATGTGGTGATTTAAAGAAATGAGTCTTGTGACTGAAGATAACTTTTTAACCACACAGCAGAGCTCAGGGACGCCTCTGGCTAAATGCATTCAACAATGAAAACGTGAACTCAACTTCTGTGTCTGTGCTCTGAGAGTCTGCAGGTTGTAATTGTTGCTTTCTGTAATGTTACAGATTCGCAATGGATGCAAAGCAAGTACTTCCTTTCAGCAGGCAATGCCAACCAACCCAGAGCTGGCTTTCCTCTGGAGCAGGAAGGGAGGGCGAAGCTGGGTACCTAACATTGGAGTAGGCAGAAGGGCCAACCTTCTGTTCTGAAATCAGCACCAACCCTTTTTTTTTTATTTTTTTTATTCTTTTTGCCTTTGCCTGCAAGAGTTGAGCTAATCCTGTTTTCCACACAATTGGGAGTGGGACTTAGCATAGCACAAGAAAGACCTGTGTGAGTTAGACCTTAATCAGCTGCTTGTTACAGGGTCTGGTGTGCTGTTTCTAGGAGATGCAGCGCTCAAAAACGTGCTTGGCTGCTCTGAGACCATCCCAACTGTCTGTTAAGTTTTTTGCTATATTTATGTATGAAATAATATATAAAAAGGAATTGTTTGACCTAAACTGCTTTGGGGAAGGTCTTGCCGTGCCTAAGCCTGACCATGCCTTCAAATTTTTGGCTGGTTGACTTTATTCTCGAGTGTTTGAGGAGTGATTGATTGTTCTGGAAGCAAACTAAAAAGATAGATTTGAAGTTGTGAGCTCTCCAGGTCTAAAGAGCATTATGAGAGTAGGCATGTTTTAAGAGTACATGCTGGAGTGCTTTAGCAGCTAAGTACAGGCAGCTGCTCTTTGGACAACTTTGTTTTCATAGTTCACACAGCTCATATGTAGGAGAGGCTGATTTATATGCCGTCTCCACACACGTTTCCATACATGTGGTCAGAAGGGGGAGAAAGAACCTGCCTAATGCAGTAAAGATGCTAGCTCAATTTGCTGAGGAAGAGAGTGTAATTTAAGCAAGTGTTTAGTCCAGGAGAATATAATTCAGGAAAAACACAAATGTACCTATCTATCTTAAACAACGGCTGTAATCTACAAACTTTTAGAAATTAAGCTGCTGCCTTCCCTCATTTTTTTACAGGTGTGTTTGGATCCTCTTGGCCAGTTTGTGTACTACATAAATGATGAACAGATCAGTCTAATTCAAATGGTGACTACAGTGCTGTTTTGATTCAGTCAGTCACAAAAGCATAAAACTTTTCAGCACATGTTTTTGGCATGCTAATAGTCAGGTTTTACTTCCAAAGTACTGTCATTATCTATTGCATTTTCTGGTACATGACAAAGTCCAGTGACCAACTGGAATCTACTGGGGTCTAAGTGAAGCTTGTATGTCTGTCTTGTCGCTATTCTACAGCGACCTGTTCATTCCCTTGTAACTGAATGACCAGAGAGCTCATAAAAACAAGTATTATAGGAATAGCTTTATTATCTTTAAACAACTCATTATATTACAATTTATCCATCAATATGCAAAATTAGAAGTATTAAACTATTTCCATAAAATATTCAGGAATGGAGAAGCATGTGTGTGTGTATATACACATTTTTTTAAATAGTGTTATTTAAACAATGAGAAAGTTATGAAATCACTGTATGAAATGTTGACAATGGATAGGCCTATTTCACATTCAGGAAAGGACAGTGCAGATCCCAGGCTTTTCAATTTTCAGTACCCAAGAGACACGGCTTTTAGAAATACCTTTTAACAAAACAAAACTCACGAGAAAAACATTGCAGGTACTACATTCTTATTTACTGTGCATTTGGTCATATCAAGTATGCATAGAATTTATTAACTATAAAGCATATGTATCTGCTCCAAATCTGATCAGATTTTATTCCAGTTCTTGTCTCCAATTCTGGCCATGTTCAGGAATCCCCAGACAAAATTCATGTCCGTAAGTACGTAGAAAAGGGGAGAAAAGTAATATGCATCATTGAATACCAAGTAAGCTTTTGTTTCTTCAAATAAAGCTGCCAGAGCCAGATTTGGCTTATAAAGTAATCTAACTGTACCCAGAGACAGTGATTTCTTGCCCACTACAAACTGTAAAACATCTGAAAAATAAGACACTTCGAAAGCTCATTTGTCTTGATGCGTTTAATGCCATATTTATGTGTGTTCCATGATGGCATAATTAACTACTAATGTAATTGGAGCCTGTGGGTCCATACTTTTCCATCAACTTGGAAAAAAAAGCCACCCCAAAAACTCACTTTGCTTAGCACAAACATATTTGAGAGGTCATGTTTCTAAATATCCCTGGTTTTATCTGTACAAAAATTATAAACATAAAGTGAATTAGGGCTTAAGTGAGTATGTACTACGTAGTGGTGGTAGATCAGAAGTAAGTGAGTCCCAGCAAGCTATACTTAGCACCTGCACACCTATGTTACATTGAGCTTACAGATTTTTGGTAGATTTTAAGGAGACTAAGCTCTGTTACTTGCTTCCAGCTAACACCCAGACAATGCACAATGTTATATATACACTGAAAGTCTTGAAAATTTGATGGTGGATAAAATAAAGTTTCTGTATACAGACAGTTTTAAAAATAAATTCATGTTGTAGTTCATGTTTTGTTCTCCCAACCACACAAAGGCACTAGTTTACATTAAGGACTAATGTCCTGCAAAACTTCAGTCAAATAAAGGAAGCTATTTTAAGGTTAAAGTGGTGCTAAAACCCAGCTGTCACTAGTAACTTAAAACAGCCACACTGTGTTTCTCAGATTTAGTGGGGGAAAATGTTTTGCCTCAGGACGTACATGTTGGGGGGAGTGCGTGTGTGGGGGGAAAGGCTCGGCCTTGAGCAAGTTTTTACAGCTGAGTTATAAACCTGGTTTATAACAGAAACTGGCAGACCCTAAAATATGATATAGTGGGTATTGATACACATTTGGTGTGTGTGGCAAAAATGTCTGTATGCACACAATTTTTCCTTATTCTCTGATTTTTGGTTATTGAAAAGAAAAAGGATTTTGATTGAGCTACAGTCCAAGGCTGTTCCTTTCCACTTTAGTTGTTTGCTAGAACACTTGCCTTCCAGCACTAGTAATTTGGCTAGGTTTTTTGAATGCTGTCAAGATTAGAAAAACTATTCGGCTTAGTTTTGTTACCATTTCCTACTACCTGAAAAATTATATACATCTCTCCTTGATGTAGGTTACTGCAGAGAAAGCACTACTTTCAAAATGATAAGGTATTACTATAGTCACCACAAATAATTACTAATGAAATCCTTTCCTCAAGGCTTTATTTTTTACCATGGTGAATTTGCTAATGAATACTTGGGCAAAATTTGGATCAACTATGTATTGATATGTTTTCATTATAGTTGGAAGGTGTTCGGTAGCCACAGTTTGCAATGCTGGTGGTGTCGCGGTGCTGGTAGCGAGGTGGTAAGATGTCTTTGTGATATACTCCACAAGGCGGTTGTACTGTTGTTCTGATAGTCTCTCTCTAGCTCCATCTGCCTGAAATCAAATAACAAAATGATTACTGAGTAATTGACAGTAACTGATCTCAGTGGTGAGGACAGTAACTTCCACATTACTTTTCTGTAGTTAAAAACCTTCCTGGGATCTTGCTTACAATAGTTGATTAAAACATTCATTAAATTGTTCTGCCATAGTTTAGTGCTTGGTGGATTAGTCCTCTCCTGTGCTGTTTTGGACACTTCTGGGAAGCTGTAACTCTGCCATAGAAAATTGAAGCAGTATCTTCTGAGAATTTCAGGGATGGCCTCTATACACCTTGCTTAAGAACAAATCTTTACAGTACATCAACTCTTACAGGAGACAGGAAAAGCATCTGAACCCCTTTTAGAAAAATGCCAGTAGCTCCTGGCAGTGCTTATCAGACAGCAATTCTAATCAGCAGAAACTTCTTATCACAAAGCACAAATAAAGACAGCCCATAGCTCTATCTGGGCAGTTAAGTTTAAGTAAGTCTTTAAGTTACTCGATTTAAAATAAAGACTAGAAGCTACTTTCCTGGTGAATGTTCTATGATGGGATATATCCATCTGCTTCTGGTCACCAGAAATGCCATTCTGGGTCAGAGGACCCACACAATTACATTTTTAAAACAAAAGGGCTTTACTAGACATGATTTGGGTGTGTCATTTCTGGAGAAGAAATTAAGTTGTCTATGCAAACTGCCTTTTCCACCACCATGAGTTGGAAGGAGTCCTCTAAAGAAATCCCTTTTTGCAGACTGAAATATGTAGAGGTTCAGGGCTTTACCAAGAGGGATGCAAGTAATCTACCTCTAGGGGAAAAATATAGAAAACAAATACTGTCAACAGAAAGGTGGTATCTACCATATGGTTTCAACCAGATAAAGAATTAGATGAAAATCCATGGGCAAACCTGGCTTTGGAAGATCAATCTGCTGTGCCCTTTTTTGAAGAATAAATGGAAGATGACTATGACTAGCTTGAGAAGGGAAGGCATGCAAGCAGGCATCAAGCTGGTTGCATGGTTTCAAAAAACTGTATTTCAGAAACACCACCATGGATGCTGCAGTGGTATCATTAGCAAAGTCAGTCAGAATACAAGTTATTTCCAAAATAACACAATGAACAAAAGGGCGGAAGCTATCCTAGGGCCAGGCCTTAATGCTTCCTTATTTACTCTTGGACAACTGCTGACCACTTTCATTTTTGTAGGGTTTAAAATGTCTTTGTGGGATGTCACATTAAGGATTCATATTGCCATCTTCTGACTGTCTTTCAGGGAGTTTTACACTTGCCTCACTAGATGTGATGATATTTTCAAACAGTGCCATTGGATTCAGTTTAACATCCAGGATCAGTACCTCATCACATCTCTGGACTGCAAGGCTCCTTTTAAACAAACCATTGCTTATTTGAAGAAAGAATTATTCTGATTGATAGATAGTGACACATGTCACATCCAAATCAAAACAGTCCCCTCTGGTTTTTTTAATATGCCTTTGGAGATGGATTTGCTGCTCAGCAAGTAGAAACCCTCCTGTTTTCAATCACCACCACAAAAATGCCAAAGGAAGCAGGCTCATGAACAGGCTCAGAAGCTCAAGGTTGGAGCCTATGCCTAGAAACAGTGCAAATAACAAAATGGGCAGAGGAGAGTGTGGTTTCCATGAATGACCTTAACGGGAAGGGAAAATCAGGAGGCAGACTGCTGCAGCAAACACTCGGCTAACAGTGGAGAATGGTGCCTGAACCACATCTTCTGTCTGGTGGCACAGAAAAAGTATCTCAGCAGTCAGTCCGTTTTACCAGTTGAGAGGAGAGAAATAGGCTAAAGTAGCACCTATTTAAACCAGATTGTAAGTTACAAGGTAAATTTTGCAAGTAGGTGGCTCCTCATTTTTTCCTGGTTTCTACTTCTAGGGCAGTAAGCCCAGGGGAAGCTGGGTTATAGTTCTGCCTCCACACTGACCAGAAGACCCACATTATCAAAGGAGATGGAAACAGTGTTGGCATTTGTGAACCCATTCTTCATTCAGCCCCGGGTTATATCCCACAGATACAGCATAATTATTCAGGAGGAAATATTAACTGCACTTGGATGGTCTTCCAAAGTAACTGGGACCCTACTTGCTTCCAGATGACTTCATCTGCAACCTTCTGCTTCTCCATCCAGTTTCAGTTTAGCTCGTTGTGTTGGGTTTGTGTGTGTGTGGGGGGCCACCTTGTGAGAGCAAAAGCTCCCCTGGTTCCAAGGCGTACCCCCCTCCCCAGCCCAGGATGAGCCAATTAGCAGTAGAGAAACGGCTCTGTGAATCCATATTTGTGAGGGGAAGGATGGTCTTGGTCTTGAAAAGAAGGTGGGGTGAAGCTGGAGGAGAGGCCATTGACCTGAACAAAAGACGACCATCATCCTAAACAAAGAGAGAGCTTCATTGCCAGGAGGAAGGAGGAAGAGGTGGAAGACACGAGAACTTCATACATCCAGTTCAACTGCATGACATAAGAGAAGATAAAGGAGGTCCCTTGCAGCCCATAGAGGTTCAACAGCAGAGCAGATACCCACATGTAGGCCATGGAGGACTCCACACTGGAGCAGAAAAGCTGAGCCTGAGGGCAGGTGTGACTGAATTGAGACCCTGAGAGTCACTCGATGCCAGAGCGGGGGTGAACCCCAAGAGCCAGGGTGTGAGGAGGTGCGCTGGGCTGGAGGCCCATCTGCAGCCTGTGGATGTCCCCATGCTGGAGCTGCGGGCTGTGCCCAAAGAGGTCCATGACTCCATGGGAAGCCCTCATTGGAACATCTTGTTCCTGGGCTTCCATGCTGGGAAGAGCAGCAGAGGTGAACTGACTGAACCCCCATTCCCTGCCCCCTGTGCTGCTGGGGCAGGAAGGTAGAGAAATGGGGAGCAAAGTGATTTGAATCCGGGAAGGAGGGAGAGGTGGGAGAAGGTGTTGTAAGATGTGGTCGTTATGTCTCACTGTGCTACTCAGACGAATGGCAATGAATTAAATTGATTTTTCTTTCCCAAGTTGAGTCTGTTTTGCCCATGACCATGACTGGTGAGTGAGCCGTCCCTGTCCTTCATCCTAATCCATGGCCCCTTTGTTGTGATTCCCTTCCCATCTCACCAGTGCAGGACCGCATGGTCTACCTGTGGTTAAGCCACCACGCTCGTATTGTTAAGATGACAACAACAGAAACTTGGAATTGCTGTTATTCTACATTGACTCCTAAATGGGACCTAACATTGCCACCGAGTGCCTTAGCCTGCTACTTTGAACAGCTATAACATTAATAGCCAGATCATTCAACAAATTAAAACTTAAGTCAAGGATTGCTTAACACACCTTCTAGAGGAATATTAAAGATACCATGTCCTTTCATGACAGAAGGCCACACTTTTGGGCTGAGAACTCCACAATTTTTCTAATCCCTCCCATTATGGCTTACAAAGAATAGGCCATCAGCAATTCTAACTAACTCTACAGCAGCTATAGCATCTTTGTTGCACAGACTGGACGTGTACGTAGCACTGATGGTGGGCTTTGTGCATGCACATGGACTGAGGCAGGAGGCCTGGTTCCTTAGGGTCTTCTTCGCTGCTTTGAAAAACCCAGAGACTGGTTTTCAGCTTCAGAAACAATAACATGTAGACTATCATGAAATCCCTGTTGCAGATCATCACAAAGAAATTCTGGAATATCTGGAATTCCAGGGCCCTTCAATTTTTTTGCTGTCTTGATGTTATGAGCTATACCAAGAGCAGCTGGAAGAGCAGGCCTTTTGAGTTTGAAGCCTGTCTGGAAGCAAGCAGTGTCCCAATTACTTTGGAAGATAATCCAGGTACAATTAATGCTTCCCTTTCAATAACAATGTTGTCAGTGCCAGAGTTTTCAAGAATCCATCCAGGCTATTCCCAGCCAGATGGATTAAGTTATATATTGAGGAGGTGAACAAGCCATCAGGCAAACCTATTGCTGAAGGAGTCAAAATATGCTCTATAACATCTCCGGTGATTACAGCTATAGAAAAACATGTTTTGTTTCCTAATAGTTCCAAGAAGCTCAGAAGAGGGAAGGGGAGAAACTGTTTTGGGCAAAGCTGAAACAAAAAATTCTGGCCGTCTTTACTAATGTCACCATGTTATGGAAGTGTTTGCACTTCAGCAGAGGACATCTTCAGTGCAACAAGATGGCCTGCCATTATTATTTAGAAGTTGTGTCTATTTGCGTGCAGGTCTGCAGCTCTGTGGCTGCTCACCTGCAAGTCACAGCTCACTCCTCCTAAGGTTCCTTGTCCTAATCACATTCAAAGAGTTTTTAGAGAAGCTCTTGTGGGGGAGCTGAAGGGGGGGCCCTGGCTCCCACCACCCCCAGCACTGCACACAACACCCCAAGCACCACAGAACTGACATGCTCTGCTGCAGAAAGGAAAGTACTAGATATGAAACTTCCCAGTCCAGTAAGGCAAAAAACTATAATAAACATTAATTACAAAGGAGTATTACATAACTCTATGTAATTACTAAAACTTTATTAAACTTTTGGAATCTTTTATTGTATTGCTGCCTCAGCATTAAAAACCCTTAAATTTTCTTATTTTTGTCTGCCTTACTTTTAAACTGCTCCTCCTTATAGCACATTTCTTTAAATTTTCACACAAATTTCAGCATCAGCTTCTGCGTTCTGAAGGAATGCTTATGCCAGATCTGGTTTGCACAGCATCACTCAGCTTTTGCTGTGTTACCATCACTGACTTTGCTCCACCTACGGCACAGGCACTCTTCACTACTTTTATTGCACCATACATTTTCTCAAGAGCCTGTGTCAGCAAAAGAGATTGTGTATTGAGGCTCTGTGGTTCAAGGCTTGCAGCTCTTGGCATTGCTACGCCACTGGAGTATGCTTCTATCCAGAACTTCAAGAAAAACACATGTATTTGGTCCAGCACCTCCAAAGCAGGTCACATTTACTGTGTGTACTAGCATGTGTATGTGGGAATGTTGGAGTATGCCATGTGGGGTTGTGCTGTGCATGTACAGGAGCCACTTGCCCAGGTGTCCTGTACGTTCACTGCTGCAGCAGCTGTGGGGACTAGAATTAGGCTCCCTGTCCCTTTTCTCCCCTCAGGCAGGCAGTCCCTCTGCCTCATCACCCTCTTGCAGTAATCTTTAGGCAAGCAGCCCTTCCTCCAGAGCAGCAGCCCACTCCTCACCCCTTGGATAACCAGATACAAACCCAAAAGCCGTCACACTACGGCCTAATAAAAAATATCTGGGCTGGTGCTAAAGTTAGGGTTAGGGTGGGTTGAGTGCATCAAATGCCCCATGGACAACAAATTATCTTCCTCTTCCCTCCAGGACAGTAGCTCTGGACTGAGCAGGACAGCCTGGATTCAGTCTGATGTATGCTTCCAGCAACCACACAGCATTCAGGAATAAAAAAGCTGAGCTTTTCCCACTTGCATCAGAATTCAAGTAATGCCTTATGTAGCTTTGTGGTGAGAGAAGGCAACTTCAGTCAACAGCACGCTGTGAGACTGAGGTTAGTGGAAAGACAATAAATGTAAATAGAGAATTCATCTCTAAAAAAAGCTTTCACAAAAAAGCCAGGCGCTGTCATGACACAGATGAAGTCCTTGCCGTGCTGGAATCGATGGCAAAACTCTTCAGTGACTTCAGCCAAGTTAGGATTTTACTGAAGGTGCTGAAGCCTCCCCTACTTTTTGGCACGCCTCATACTTGATGGGGTTTTACCTATGTTCTTATATTTGAAACAGATAAATTTCTGGTATAGCAGTCTATGAACTACCTGACATGCTTTTATAGAAACAACAACTGGGACATGTGTGTTTGTTTTTGAAATGATCTCTCATATGATTCCACTTGAGAATTTAACACAATAAACATTGTTTCCCGAAAGTGTAAAAATATAACATTCTTCAACCATTAAAAAATATAATTCGTCCAAACCCTCAGTATTCAAATGGCTTAGAGATCTTTCAATATGAGGATGAAGGATTTATGCTTTTACTTGGTGCATCCAATCTCAGCAAAGTTCATTTTAAAGTTAGCATTTGCAGAAGAAAGAAGATCTAGTGAAGTAAATACAACTGGCAGCCAAGTAAGACCACTGCACTTGAAGCGGCAAGGTAGGAAACATGCTAAAAGCAGCATGCATCAGCATCACTGAACTGTTAAAACCGAATTCACAGAATAAAAGGAACTGTTATTGCTGTATCTTTGTAGGTACAGGCAGCAACGCTGACTTGCTAAACAATAAACACCTCACACACATGTAGTCATGAGAACCTCTTCAGAAAAGAGGGAGTGCTTACCAAGAACCCAGACTTCCGCTACTTTTTCCCTCAGAAAATTGCTGTTACATGTATGAAATGTCATGATCAATAAGAGGACAGAAGGAAGGAGACATGTCCCTTTCATCCAAAGAGCAACACAGTCAACTATGAGGTGCATGAAAACAGCAAGTGCACTGGTTTGGCACATAAACCTCTGGCTCCCAGACCCAAAGGTGAGTATGCCTGTTGCCAAAAGCATCATCATCAGCATAACTCTTAACTTTGAATGAAATTCATACTCAAGTCTTTACCTCCAAATCAGAAGGCACTCTCTGTTGTTTTAGCTGCACCTTCAGCAGGTCTTTTTGCTGATCATCTTCCAGACAGTCGATTTCAGTCACTGGGAATGCCTGCTGCTGTGTGTCTTCACTGATGCTGACCACAAAGAGGACCTCTGAGGTGAGCAGCAAGCAACCTTCATGCTGCTGGCCTGATCCACTCACAATCATGACGTCTAAGGCCATATGGACCTCTGGCCTTCCTAGAGATTGCAGCATTTTCCTGCATTATCAAGGAAAAAAAAAAAAGAAGAAAAAATATGAAGTAGTCAGTGTTATGCATTGGATCCTCCAGGACTTCTTTTGATCAGTAATGTTTTTACTTAAGCCTGTAGTTATCACCAACAAATAGAAAATAAGCCAGGGAGTATATTCCAAATCTCCATTACTGAAAGATGTAAGACTTAAGATTTAGAGAAGAAATGTGAAACTGTTACTTATCAAAACTCCTTAATCATTCACTGCAAAATTGGCCTAATAACTGTGCTAGGTCAGCCTATTTCCCATCCTAATAGAAAAATTACCCCGAGAAGTGGTTTACAAATCCAGCACAGAAAATAAAGCTATCTTCACTAACAGCTGTTTCTGGAGATGTGCAGTATTTTTCTTGGGCTTGGTGCAATGATAAATAAGTAAGAACTCACTGAATGCCATTAAATAAAGATCAGCTCTGTAGTTCCAAAGCTGGAAGTGGATCAGCAGCCCATCATTTGCAGATTGGGTTTCTATGCACTACCTTTGTGTTTAATGTTCCTAAACAAACTGCCATAACTCAGCCTTTCCTAGGGAAGCAGCCTGTTAACTTGACCACAGGCCAGAACCTATTAATAAACAATGTGGATGTAAAAACGAGCAAGTGTCTAAATAATTTTACCAGACATATTTGACGTGGCTATTTGGAGCCTGCTCAACGTGTTGATCATTTGGATGAGAGCGCTGCTTGGGAAGCTGAGAAAGTCCAGCTCCATGCAAAATACCTGCGGTAAGAGAATTTAAGTTTTTTAGTAGTTGTTTTCCACAAAACAGTTACATGTTGTAGTGATGTCATCTGTTTAGAGCAGTTCATAAAATAGTGCAGATCCAAAGTGATGTCACATCTTTGGAAGCTGTAGTCAAAATAATTCATTAAATATTACAATGCAAGAGTTGTGCACTTAACCCGGGTGATCTTGCATTAGCAAGAAACAAAAAAACCCACTGTGTGTTCTAAAAATCATCCATACACTTGCAATCAAGAGAAACATAATGCTCCTGAGAGCCATCACTTCAGAGCAGGATCGGACACATCACAGGATTTATGCAGAAAAAATCAAGACTATTGTTAACTTCTTTGCTTAATATTAAAATACTTCCATATACGTGTCATGAGTGGTAGAGATTAGAAGGCAAGTTTGCCGATACTGTATTTCAATGTTCAGTTACTTAATCCAGCTGTTAAACACAGATCCATATATATTTATGAGATCTCCCGGGGCATCTGGTTTATTCTTCAGTGAATTCTCTGGTGAATTCTTCAGTGCCAGCATAGAATGAAGACGACAAGAAGCGGTTAAACAGGTTTCTAAATAGACGAAGCTGAAGATGATACAGTATGTATGCTTTCAGATGGCACTTTTAAAGATGAGAATAGTCACCAGAAAGAATGAGTGGGTTGCAAAAAAATTCACAGGTTAAGTAGTTTTAAAAATTTTTACAAGACAGACAGGAAGTAGGTTAAGCAGCAAGCCCTAGTGTTAAATGGTTTAGTGCAAAGTTACTCTTTAAATAAACAAAAACATTTTCTTTTGTCTAATTAAGCATTCCACTGAAGCAAACGGCATTTTTGCATAAGGGTGTCAATAACTTAGATTCCTTTTTACACAATGGACAATAATTTAAACAAAACATCAGCACTGAAAAAAACCCTTTAATTTTTAGCACACATGTTGATGGTAATACTTAAAAGCAGCATCCCAGTTGTAACAGTTGGCTTACCAAGGTTCTCAGCATTATGTGAGTGAAAATGTTATTTACAGATGGAGAAAGAGAGAACATGTGTTTATTTCTGTGTGGTCCCCCACCCCTTGGTCCCCCCCAAGAGGCACGGTCCCACTTCCAATCCAGTTGTGGGTAAGAGTTACTTGAACTCTTGTGTGTTTTCCTCTCACGCACTGTCAGCTATTATTGATACAGTTTTTATGTTTTTTTCCTGGCTAACTCTTTTTGTCACATGCTCGTGGAAAACATGATGTCTTGTGTACCATATCTGCAACGAAAAGTGTCCCTCTACTGTTACAAGTTTCTTGATAAAGACCGCAGCAGAATTAAATCTAGAAAGAATAATGCCACAGGCAGCAAAACCAACACACAGCCAGCTGACAACGGACAGAAGTTTCTGAGTTTACCGATACAGGTTTTACACCTATGCGATGCATAATTCAGGAGAACAGTTATTTACACTCATACAAAGAAGATAAAGTTAATTTGAAAGAATTGTAATAATTAAATGTTTTATTACTGGTTCAAGGAATGAGTTCTGAATGTAATGGGAAGCGTGGAAACAATATGCCTAGGAGAACTACTTGTATTCTAATCAACACATCACAAACATAAATATTGCTAGTGATTAAAGGCTTACATCTTCAAGGTTTGCCCAGTGTAATTAGTGAAGCAAAACTGTTGACACATTGTCCTTGTATCAAGAGGTCCCCCTGCTTTTCTTCCCTGACTCCCCTGCCCCCTCTTTAAATATCCAGATCAATAGCTTTGATTTATTGATACTGGAAACAAATAAATTAGTGTATTTTGATATTTTATTTTTATCTTTTACAGTTTTTAGTCACCCAGAGGCACTCACATTAATCTGAAAGGATTCATCACCACTAAGTGCTCAGTCTATCTGGAAAACCCACCTCTGGTCGTTAAAAGGTTACCCATGTAGCCAAAAATGGGACTGTCTTCTCGCAACTCTCCAGTTTAAAGGGGATGGTCCCACTACACGACTCACTTCTTTCTCCCAGGAACATAACCCTCTCTTTGTGTAGAGATAGCACAACTCTTTCCTTGTTGTAACAAAGCAATGTCAAAATAACCCTCTAATTGGATATAGTGTTGCTCTAATACTTTTATGTCAAAAACTCTTTTGTAAGCACATATGTTTCTGTAACTAATTCTACTGTATTCCAAGGATTACTTCATGCTTTCTGTATTTTGTGTTTCTATGGCTGTACAACCCTGATCGGTAATACAAGAGAGGAGCGTAACATGATGGCTTTTAAGAAAATGAGCACAACATTTATAACTACTCAGCACTGGCATTTGTAAATCTTTCTCTAAGGCACACAGCTACTGAGCCGGATAAGTAAGACACAGCAGGTTGCACCTGAAGAGCATTTTAAAATTTAAACGGAGATGCTGGAAACAGAGAAACTCACCATAACCTGTCTGGGAGACGAGTTCAGCTGCCCCTCCGATGGGCTTTGTGAAGACGCCCATGATTCCTTTCCCCACACCCGAGATGACCCCTCTGGCTTTGTGCCCGGCTGAAGCTTGGGCCTCAGACACTCGCTGAAAATTCTGCATCGGCTGATCCACAATCCCAGCAATTGCACCTGAAAAAACAAGAGTCCTCAGTAATCAGTGAAGATTAATATCCCACAATAAGAGGAAATCTTATGACTGGACCTGACTGTTGCTTGGATTACAGACTGTACCTCACCCTTCTTATACAGCTATTTAGCATGCAACCAATTAGCTAAACAATACCTTAGTTTCAGTTTAAGCAAATATCAACTTCCTTCTTTTAAAATGCATTTTACTTTTTTAAACATCCTTATCACTTAACTTGACACTATGCTTTCATCTTTCAACTACTTTCACTGAATGCTTTTGCTGAGTTAGTTTAATTTAGCTCATTCTGTGTAGCAATTCTGAAAATGTTGGGCTCGGAATAAAATCCACCCATTTTAGATGACTTGAGCTGTTATGGAAATGAGATTTTCATGTAAGCCTGAGATTGACTTCATGAGAATAAAAACTGCCTGTACTCAATAGATCATTTTTATATCCTCTTCCACTGCCAGAAATGTTCATAAGCTAATGCAACTTTTGATATATTACTAAGATTAGCAGAATTAGACTTTGAGACTTTTTGTTACTTTTTTGTGAAAACGATCATATTTTACTTTAATGCGCATGGGTCAAACTTTTACAAGTGACACAGTGACCTTCCCAGCTTTTAGTATCAACAGAGAACTCCGGCTTAAATCTTCCTAAATGTAAACAGGTATGTGAGGTGGTACATTTCTTTGATCTTGAGTTTATTCTAGCCACTTAACCACAGACATTTCTCTATTTATTGTAATTTTGATAGATAAGCTATTTGGAAATCGCTAAGAGTACAAGGATTGGACAAAGTGACATCAGTTAGAAAACGGTCTGCCTGATCCGAGGTTCTTTGCTCAGTGAAAAGCAAGTTTGCAGGCTTCTTGGCTGGCTCTCAGTTTGCACCTTCAGCTGCAAATATCAAGATAAAATGATTATTTAAGGAGTAGGACTGAGTGTCACCTTGGTAACCAGGCGTTTTTACTGCAACCTAGACATCTTTGAAGATTCTGCTTTATATGTGGAAGCACATCCAGGCATAATTCCACAGATTCGGACAATCACAGCTGAGGTATTTGGCTCCATGTGTTCACCAGCGTGACATGCACTAGTCAGCTAGCTGCTAACCGGTTTTCAGATGGTTTTAGTTACTGTTACTGGATAAACAGAGAAGTTGCTGACTTTGAACAACAAGAACTAATATTGTACTTGTACACTGCTATTCTGTCCAAAGAAAAGATGGGGATGAGAAGCAGCACGCATTTCCCCAGATCCTTGTCCCCGGGATACTATCTATCAGCAGTTCAAGAAACTTGCATCCCTCATAAATGCCTCCCTCTCCTCTTAGAGAGACTGCTTCCAACTTCTGTATGTGTACCCTTTACTGATAAATGTATAGTATTTCTCCAGAAAATGGTGGTCTACTTTTAACGTGATACCCAGTTTTTATTGAGCTCAGTTACTGAAGCTGAGCGTGCAGCTGAACGTTCACCCTTTATACCACAAAGGCCATGAAGCTTCCTTAATGCCTTGCCATGGAAATGATACAATTCTCAATTCAATTCCTTTCCATTAGTACTTACCAGCTGTTCCTGCTGCTTGACTAAAATAATACCCCAACACCGCATTACACAATTGGGATTGTTTGTCCAGTCTTTTCTTTTGTACAACTGTGATGCATTTGAAGGCATAAAACAATACTTGGTGTTCTGCTATGTTACAGTATTACGTTACCCTGTGACCTCCTTCACCCTATCTATTGAGGTCATCCACAGCAACTGCACTTTCAGAACAGAAGTTATTGCCTTATTAAATGTAATCCACCTAAGTCCTAGCACTAGTAAATTATTTACTGCAATACACTTGAGCAACGTTATAAGGTAATAATAAATAAGAGCCTACTCCAAAGGACCTGTGGTGTGCTCCAGGCACTTCTCAGCTGGAATTAGGCCCAGAGGACAAGGAAACAGAATGGAAACTGCTGTGACTGTGTTATATAAGATTATTTATATAGTACCCCAAATAATATATAGCTTAATTAGACAGTTTTTTAGTACTGCCACTCTTTCGGTTATTCTGCCATTTTATGCATGGTCTGAACTTGTCTGTGAAGCCACTGCCCTTTGGTACTGCAAATCCTTTTGCAAGTCCTGTCTTTCTACCTGGAAAAAATATAACCAATGATCTTCTCTTCCCTCTTTGCTCACTCTTTGTAATCTCTTATCTCGAATTGCAACTCACTGACATAACTCATTCACATGCTGTGGTCATGCCCACAAATCACACAATAAACTATAACCTTACTCCTTTCACTAAGGAGTGGCTGGTCCTGCCACCCTTGTATGGGGAAGCCAGATCTGTGCAGCTCCTTTCCTGTGTGCATCATGTGTGGGCAAAGGAAAAGAAAAAAAAAAGGTCAAAGACTGAGCAACCTCAGAACCCCACAGCAGTGAGATAATGGTGACACAAACACGTGAGGTTCACTGCATCTTGAGCACCAGAAACTGGGAAAAGCAGATGTCCCCCGGTATCCACGTGGCTTCTTTCTTTCTAATGTAAAGTTAGTGGCACGAGCACCATGCTGGATGGACCTACCACAGAAACCCCAGGTTTCAGTAGGGTATCAGAAAAGCAGAGTATGAGGAACATGTAGTGGTTCCTCCTTTCCCACTGTCATTCTCACAGTCTAGAGACACCTATGGTGTCTTACTGCTGTCCCCGTCCCTTCTCTGTAATGTCCTTTGCCCTTTTTTTTTTTTAAACGAAACCATTCTCCATTCTTCTTCCCTTCCTTACCCTAGGCTTTCAATTTTATATGCATGTCCACATATGTACACACAGATTATGTATGTATAAAGAAAACCTCAATAAAATTAAACACCAAAGCAACAAAACAAAAACATATTCTTCCATTACTGGACCAAAGAGGTTCCAGCAACACCATAACATCTGCTAAACATCAGCTGGGGTGCACTCTGGTTAATACATGTTGCTCAGTAACCATAAAAAAGATTCTTTGATAACTACAAAATTCAGATAGTTCAGAGTGTATCACTGTATTACTTCAAGAAGAATTTGATTATGAGCAGCAACTGGTTCGTGTGCAGACTGACAATGTTTGGTGAACGTAGCACGTCTTACAGAACTTAGCAAAGCTCGAGTTCTTTGTGACAAACTCCTTCAGACCAAGCAATAATTGGAAAAAAATCCCCCACCAGGAGAAACTGGCCATGCTTTGCCATGAGGCTGGAAGCCAGTCAAGCTGAAACCACTTCGCTTCCTTTTTTCTCGGTTGTCCTTCAGGATTGTTGCAAGTGTTTCATGCCGAAAATATGGCTGAAGTATAGTCTGATCACAGCAAACATCACGTTAAAATACAGCTAAAAGAAAAGGGCACCTGTTGGTGTGCATGAATATATTTGCAGCATTAGTTTGTGGAATAGCACACACCTTCAGGATTAGCGCTAGCTTTTAGTATCTCACTTGTAGATAGGCAAATGTAGAGTGGCCCCAATTCAGTGACTCTTGCATAGCAAGAACAACCACCACCCTTAATAATAATTTGAGCTTCTGAAATCCAGGCTTTTCCTGCTCTAGCAGCACAGTTACACTGTCAGTTAGTATTACTATCAGGAGTAACTGAAATGTCGAGAACTTTTGCCATTGTGAAAAATGGCTTTTCTAATGTTTGTCAGCTTTTTAGTTATTCAGAAATGCTGAACTTTGCAAAAGGAGCTACTTCAATACGGTATTTTGCACTAGGACTAGTAGCTGAAAATAAAGTCTATAGTTTAAATATTCTCTTTTACGTGGTTATAAATTAATATTTTAAGCTTGACCCTGTCATGCAAAATGCAAAAGGTAGTTCCTTGGTGGGGAGTGTCGATCATCTCAATATTTTAAATACAATTTCGCTGCATTTTTGTTTAATCATGTAAAAGAAAAAACACACCTATCATAAGCTTTTGCTTCTTTTCATGCACGTTACTAAAATGACCCAGAAGTCTCCCCTAAACTAGAAAAGAAGACGACAGTTTGCCAAAGATAACAATCAAATCAAACAACACCCTGACAGTGCTTGAGTCATTTAAAACGAGACAGGACAAAGCACTTAAGAATGTACCACAGGGAACAACTTGCACTGAGGAGGAGACAAGAGTACATGATTTTGGCCCTGATTCAGTAAAGCTCTTAAGCACATGCTTAAGTGCTTTGCTGAATCAGGGCCACCATGAGCCAGATTTTCAGAAAAATCAGAAATTCAGCTCTTTCTATCTAGACACCACAATATCTTGGTGAACTGAGGTGAACACATTGCATGCCTGTACCTAGGCTAGAAATCTGCCTTTGCAACACTTAAGGCTGTTTGCATGAGTCAGATGGCTTTTACAAACATGATAGTACTGTCACTATCCTGGAAACGTTTTTCACACTTCTCAGTTTTACAATTAGAAAGTAACAGAAATTACGGCTTCAAAGAGTCTCACTCTCTAGATTCCTGTGTTCATCTGAACTCTTCATCCTTGTGTAGTAAAATAACGCAGCAGCTCCACTTTGTTTTGTTATGTACGAAGGACCAGGAAGTGTTCTTAGAGTGTGTTCATGTTCACTCTGAAGCGCTGGTGAGAGAAAGTAGCACGGTGGTACCTCCCTTCATTACAATTGTTTTTTCTGGGGAAGCCACAATGTGCTTTAAACTAAATGATAAGGACAGAAAGAGCTTTCTGATGCATTTGTAAAAATTGAAATGTAGGTCCATTCATAATTTAGGTCTCAGCACAATTTACATGAATACTGCTTTGTATACAGAGAAAACCTGCTTTTTAAAAATCAGGTTTAAATTAAAAAGAAAAATGCCTGATACAAATTCACTGGAATATTTCTGGTTCCTGCCTTAGTGAGAGGTCCCATGCTTGTCAAGTCCAGCCACACAGTAACCGTAGCTATTTATCTGGGTGCTTCATTGCCTCCACTGCTGAGAATGGAGGTATTTAGCAGGGAGGAAACTCTAAATAATAACAGCGGCAGTAAGAACAAGGTCCTAGCTTGCAGAGAAGCTCTGTTTAAATGCTAATATGAAGCTCAGTTTCTAACATTAAGTTTGATTTCTTAGTAAATCAGGGGCACTGAAGTTCTAATTCTTTTTTTTTTTGGTTTTGTTTTTAACTCAGGGCTACTCCCACAAACAATCAAAGCCTTGTGTGCAGGGAGGCACAGGCACGGCGTATTTGTGCCCGCATGTTACGAGTTCCCGGCTTTCCTGAACAGCAGAAACTTTGCCTTGCTACAGCCAAAGCTACAAAGTTTTGCTCTTTAGTTCTGGCTGTACAGCTGATGCTTTTAGCTCTGAAGGGCTCTGGTGTGTCCGTGAAGGGGACAGGCACCATATTAACCCGCTGTCTTAGCAATAACTGAGCCAAGATCACCAAACCATTTCACTGGCACACATACACCAGGCTGACACAGTGCTTCTAACAGTGCTTCTAAAAGTATCATCTTTCATCCAGCTACTCAACCTGACTGCCCTTAGCACAATAAAACAAGAAGGAAAAATAAAACCTTCTTTGAACTGTCTTTGATTTGCAACACCAGTAACAGCTTAGTATTGAGATAGTAGCTACTAATATATGAAATTTCTCCTTTATGCACATTTCTCCCTGGACACTTGCTTGCTGGTTTACAGGCATTATCAAATGACAGTGCTTCACATCATCTAATGTTATTGCTTAAAATAATTTCCAGTAACTTAACCCAAACTTGTAACATTTTTACCACTTCCTCTTTGGGGCTTTCAGGGTTGCGGTTGCAAATTTAGGAGCTGTATACACTACTGAAGATTAGGAAAGAGGACAAATCCTTTCAAGCTTCAGCTCTTCTAACCTTTTGCACTGGACTGCTTTTGGTCACTTTGATCCTCCAAGGGATTCATACTCTTTAATACATACTGAGGAACTCTGCCAAACAATACAGTTCTGCATTCCTTTGCTGTGTGACAAGTAGAAGTAACCTAAAAAAATCCAGCCCCTTACTGCAAAACTTCTCACAGAGATTTTTTCCAGTGCGGGTTAGTTTTCAAGTTTTTAGGTACTATTTTGAAATAGCCAGAGTAATCTTCACTTATAACCGAACCTCTTGGCTGCTTGATGAATACAATTACACTTAATCAGGATGATCTGGTTCTCTTTGTTAAAGCAGAATTCCTCATCAAAGCTCACTTAACATCTGCACTAAGTTCAAGTGGTTTTCAAACAAAACCAAGAATCTCTGATATCTACAGTGCAGCAAAACCAAGCAGGTTCGGAAGGCATTCCTATAACTCATTGGAAAGTAAACATCAGCCTGATGACGTCTTTGTGCTGACTTAGTTACAAGTCACCCTGCCAAATGCAGAATTTCTTTTCTTCTGAGATATACATCATGTACCAATAAAAATATTATATCACAAAGACAGTGCAAACTTGTTCTATATCTGCAATTATTTTATCAGCAAAAAACATATACAAAGGTCACTAAACCCTGAAGAAAAGAAACTGTCTCATACACACACTGTGAGGCTATTTCACAAGAAAACACCAAAACAAACAGATTTTGCAATTATAACGCACATGTAGAAAAGGCTGGTGAGCAGATCAGAAAACAGTATTATCACTTAACTTGATATTTAATAGTACATTACCTAGAAGGCTAATGCCCAAACGAGAGAGCCCCTGTCTCAGTCCTTCTCCCAGGCTCTCTGGAAGCTGCCTTCTCCATTCTTCTTGTCTGTTGTAATGCTCCTCATCCAATGACAGCCTATCCATATTCCGAGCAAGACTTGTTGCCAGATTGGTAATTGACGTCAGTGTACCTAAATACATGGAGATATACATTTGGGTCTGGATCAAAATGCTTTAATTTAAAACATGGAGACATTCTATGCCTCACTGAAATACTGAGCTTATGAGCAGAACAGCAAGTCATTTGAAAAGTCGCCCATGTGTAACATGCTTTACTATTTGCTAAGCATCACCACGCTGCTTCTCCGGTCCACGTCACGCCTTTTACATTAGCCTGCACCAGGTTTGCCTGCCTGGGGGGAAAAGCAACTCATCCAAACAGCCTTCCCCAGTTCCCAAACTTCTGTAAGGCTAACCTTAATGGAGAGGGGGGGTGATGGAAAGGTAAACAAATATTTAGAGAAGGAGGCCGGGAGAACGCGTCCTGAGGGAGCCTGGAGCAACAGCCGCTGTCTCACCCGGGCAGCAGAAGCCACGCGATGGCACTGTTTGTACAGACTTCGCAAACCAAAAGCTGCTCCTGTTCTCAGGCCAGAGCAGCACTGCTGTCAAAACCTATCCACATACTTACACAGTTATGACAACTGTATCTACTTTTTCTTTTTTTAAAAAAAAAGAAATAATAAATATGATGAAGCGACACAGTGTAGAATTTCTGATGGTTAGCAGAAGTACAGAACACCTTTAATACTTCTGCAGTTATCACATGAAATACTGGCTGAGCCAACCTCCATTTCCCACTGGGAGGTTTAAAATTCTGAAGTTTCTGAAACATTCTTACACACTGTAGTTAAGCGGTGATCTGTTTAATACATAAGATGTTATATATGAGCTTTGTTACCCTCCCAGCATTTCGCTGCAGCCTAGCAAGCCAAACAAAGCTGCAAGCAATATTGTTTAAAATTTTAACACATCCTTTAACAATGTACAACAACAAAGCAGTAGTTGGAGCAACAAAGTGAAAGATCTACCTTTGGAAATGTGTTTTACAAATGATGATGTTCCTCTAGAAACTCCACTGACAAATGCTCCTGGGCCTCTGGTCAGCCCTTCATAGGGGAGCCTAAAGAAATCAGCTATACCATTCCCTATGCTTCTCACCAGACTGGCCGGGCTTCCGAGAATTTCCAACGATCCGACAACCCAGCCTGTGCGGAGAAACAAGACACATGTCACGGCTGCAAAAACTGCAGAAGCAGCAGTTGTGAAAAGGTTATTCCTTAATTCTCTTTTTCACACCAGAATTCATTGCATTATGAACTTCCTTTGAGCAAAACACGGGAAATAACTCATCCACTATGAATTCAGAAATGGCAATCTTTCATACTTTGTAAATCAAAGAAATCCTTTTGGCAAACTCACAAATAGCTTTAGAATGACTTCCTTCCAGGAGCTTCCCGTATTTCTGCTAAAAGTGTGCTAGAGAGGCGGACGCTAGAGCCTCACAGCTATGGAGGAACGGGACTGCCAGCTCAGATTGCTGGGTCCGTTTTAGACGCTATAAGGCAGCGTTGTGATTTCACATCCTTATGTGATAGAATTGTGACAGGGAGTTTACACTGATACAATGTACTGCTTTACCAGAGTGTGGAGGTCAATTGCTTGATGGAGTGTTAGGAAAGGGGATGCAGATTTTTGACAAGTGCTTAAGAAGTTATTTTAAATCCACCCCAACTCTTCTAAGCTGATCATTTTCTTTCAGAGTGCAGTGAAAGCCAGACAAATGTCTTTTGCTCAGTACAGTTGTGTAAACAGCAATGACATCTACATGCTGATTAGGTTACTCATAGGGGAGTATTCCTTATGCATATCCCAGGAGATGTATCTGCAGATCTGGTTTCCTATATAAAATGCAGGGTTGCCAGCAGCTTGCTGGATGGCCGAGCGTGCAGCAATCTGTTGCTGGAAAGCTGTTTGCAGGTCTTGTCTTTCTCAGGCTGGTTGGCAGCAGATTTATTAGGGAAATAGTGCTGCACAACTTTTTTTTCAGCAGCCCGGAGAGAGCGATTCAGAAATGGCAATAAACGTTAAACAGAACTGCCTGGTCTTTGAGCCCTGATACCATGAATTTCAACTGGCACTGTCAGAGTGACAAGGCATGACAAGATCAGGAGGCTGAAAGATGGACAGATTGGCCTCCTGCTCTCCCGCCAAGGGCCCTTGATCTGCACTGTCCTCCTCATTCCCATCTCATCACTGCAAACTCCTGCTGTCCAGATGCTTTTCTTGTTTTCTAGTAACCCCTCCCAGCCACTCCTGTGGAAGGCTGAATCATGAAACTGAACAGAAGAGAAAATGTTTTTCATATGAAATGAATTAATCTCATACTATCATTGTATGCTCCCGGAAAATCTATTATTCTTGTTGAATCTGTCCCACATTTCAGCCCTGGCAGGTTGAGAACTCCAATTCATGTAGTATAAAAAGCAGGAACCACAGTGGACATAAGGGAGCGGGTGGGACGGACAGTGAAAACAAAACCCAAGTACTACTGGCAACGCAGCTTGCAGAGCGGCAGCAAGCGCTGTGGCCCTGTGGTGCCTGGCCTGGCGAGGAGCATCCCCTTGGCAGCCCTTCCCTGTCAAGGACCAGGGGAAGCCAGTGCTCCAGGCTGGGCCTGCGACTCCCTCACTGTAGTATTTTTAACAAATTATCCTTGCCACTGTGTGAAGTGATGAAAAGCTGCAGGGGCAGGGAGGCGTGTACAGATGGAAGAGATGCTCTTTCTGCTTTTTCTGATCAATAATGTTGCAATATCCCTTACAGCCTTTTTTTTTTTTTTTTTTTTTTTTTTTTTTTTCCCCCCAAATATGCTTGGCATTCCTTGTCCCGAGGTGGCGATGGGACGGCATCTGTTTGCCCAGCCAGCGTGTTCAGGAACGAAAACTGGATTAAAACCAAGAATTAAACCAGTTAAGCACAAAACTGAGGGGTTTGCCTGGTATCCTGGGGATGAGCTGTTGCAGTCTGGCCTGGCCTGTGGGCCGTCAGTTTTGGGAAGCTCTAGAAGGAGTGTGCTCACCCTCGGAGAGCACATGGGAGGAACGTGCAACCTGCAGCAAGGGTGACCCTCCTTAGCCCAATGCTCAGAGTAAAACTAATGGCTCCTCACTGCTGGCATGGACCACCCAACCCAAGAAGGAAGGCGTGGGAGTAAGTGGGGAATAGAAAAATGATGAATCAGGAATAATCCCTCAACTCACAAGCTCTGTGCTGAATTTTGCTTTGCAGAAATATAGTATCATGTCAGATTACTATTCCCAAAGTATGCTTAGTAAAGATATGCATTAATATGAAATAATTATTACTATATTAGCAGAGAGGCAATGCATTTTCTTTATAGGCAACTATAGGGTTAGATCTAGCTGATACCAGTAATATTTTTAAACAGAATTTTATTAATTTTTAAGTAGGAGCCAACTTAATTAGAAAAGGATGAGAGATTTCCATTGCAAGTTTTGCTAATTTGAGACAAGCAATGCTAATCAGCATATTTGAGCAGAGCTCCCATTCACTGCTTAGGAGACATGGATCCTGGCTGCTCCTTTGCAACATATGGGGCAGCCTGATACACTCCCTTTAGTAGGCTTTGGGGCAAATTCTTCCCCCTCCCACAGGGCAGCAATGGTCTTGCACACAGCTCAGGGCAAAATGAGACTGTATCCCGCTTGGGGCATAAGGCACAGCGATACGGGAATGCTATTTGTGCAGATGCTACAATGACTTATGCATGGGGCAGTGGTGAGCAGAAGGGGGAGGGGGATCAAACAACCCCTCGTTTTGCAGATTAATGTGGTTAAAATGCAGGAGAGTGAGGTTCTCTTCCTTAAGAGACCAATCCGAGAAGAGTATCTCACCTGATGGTGAGGAAAGGACTCGGGGTTTGCAGACCACAAAAAGCTTTTTGCTTGACTTTTTCCTCCTTTTTAACTTTGTTGACACATTTAGCCTATTGACAAGTGTTGCAAACTCTTAAAAATAAAGTATCTTCTTTGCCCAAGCAAATATTAATCAACACAATTCACCATTTTAATCATGGTAACCTCTTTCAAGAAATATATTTTAGTTTTAATACTTTGAGTGAGATTTAAGTAGCAACTAAATATATGCTTATGTACTTTCCTGAGAGAAGTTAGCCACTAAAACAAACCTTACTTCTTTATATTTAAACCTGCTTGATTTCAGTTACATCATGAGCCCAGAGCAACGGGTGTGTACTGCTGCACACTGCAAGGGTAGCACAGGAGGAAAGACCAAGACCAGGCTCAGGAATCCCTCACTAGCATATGTGCCTCACCTGGGATGTTGCGGATGAAAATCCAGTATAACCCCAATTTCCTGCTGCAGTATATCACCACTTGTATCACCACTCCTAGCCAGTTGTGGAGAGAAACGTTCACACTGTGGAGCATATTGGACCACAGTTTCACTCTAAATTAGCAAGAAACTAGATCTCCCCTTTTGTACTACGGGATTTTACTGTAAAATAAATCCAAACAAATAGTAAAAAGAAAAACCTGCAAATTTTGCAAGCAAAATAATGCAAGAAAATAATGAATCGGTGCACAATGTTCTGGTGCACAATTGTGTACACAGTTGCCATAACAGGCTATGTAAGTCAGGTCTGCCCGCAATGACAGACCAGATCAGCATCTCTCTTACTTATAAATGCCTGAAATGCATGTGTACAATTTTGGAAATTACGCACAGAAATCAGGCTTGCAGCACAAATGGAAGCATCAGGATTTCAGAAAATCTGACTATTAGTATTGCAGGAAAATAAATCCCATGTTTCAGAATGGCATATGTTACTTGTGTGTCATCGTGGAGGAGCTTCCTCCTGTCTCATATACAAATTCCATTCTACACTAAGACACAGTACAGACCAAATTTCATTATTTCTGAATTAATATTTACGTAAAACAGAATGAACCTGCTAACCTAACAGACTAATTGCTCACTATTGATCCTATATGGAAAAAAGTTAGTAACAGCAAACTTCATAGTTCTTGGATCAAAGGACAACAAACATCTGTGTGCCAGTTTAGCATGAAGGCTGTATGAAGAAAGACAGATTCCTAATCATGAACTGCAGCCAAAAGGGGTTTTAACAACAAAACAACATTCAGGGCTATAATTTACTTCTGAATGCAAAGCAACATGCTG